TCACAACAGATTCATATTCAGCTCCTAATCTGGCAAGTATGTAGAGGACTAAATCACTAGTATTAATAGGTTCAACAACAACAGAAAGGCTATTAGCTATAGATCTAGCTTTCTGAATATATTCAGAAATAGTCATACCTCCCTTCTTGAGACACTGGAGTTGTCTTCTGTACTGAAGCAATCTAGAGCAGAAATAGTTGGAGAAAGACTTAGCTAGGGCATTCCAAACATTGTGAGATGACTGACGTCCTACCACTTGCGTGAACACGCTTTTTGTGAGAGAGGCAATAATCCAAGAGAACACCAACTGATCTTTCTCAAACCAGTCTAAATAAGCCAAATTGAGGATCATCTAATTTCCATCAATCGGATCTGGTACATATTGTGGTGGTGCAACAATCGATATGTCTATGTACCTCATCAACCAGTTAGTGTAGAGGATCGACAGAAGTTACACTTTCTAGAGCAAGTAATTGTCATTACTGAGCTTGATAGGGAGATAATGTATGCCACTCGAATGAGTTGAGTTCTAACCTGACATGTTGTTGGTGACTGAGGCACTAGTTGAGTGCTGAGACTCAGAGGTAAAGCCACTGGAGGCCATGAAATCAAAGGAGGCTCTGATACCAAGTTAAAATCAAGGATCTTGAAAATAATAATCTGGCACTATAAGAAGGGCATCTACCTTAACCAATGCTTGATATACACGAAGAACTACAATTCCCGATAGGTCATGGCTTAGCAGAAGAAAATTCAGACTAGTTCTTTAGATATGTGGTACCCCTTCATTTTATTACCTCTGTGATTCGACTAAGAGCCTAAGACTTGTCCCAAATACCAACAATCTTTGACGTCAGTATCCTTCCATACCACTCATTGTCTATAGTCTGTAGGAAGTTTTGATCAAAATACTAACAAAGATAATGTACCTAAGCTATTGGGTTCTGTGCCCATGCAAAAGGTAACATAACTATGCAAATAAGCATGCTGGGAGATTTTCATATTTTGTTTTTGAATTGCATAATCTTTACCAAAATCTCAGTCTAGAAAAACAAAGAAAACTTTAGAATACAAAAATAGAGGAAAAAGAATTTAAATAGGTTATGTTTGGTTTCATGGGTGTTTATTAAAAAAATACTACCACATTAGTGCCAAATAGGCATTGGTGTTATGAAACCATTGTTTGGTTTCAGGATTTATCAAATAAATTCTAAAAAACTGAAGCACTTTGACTTATGTGTATTAGGCATTTGGGGAAACATCAAATTCTCATTTCCCCAAATGCCTAGGCCTTTCTTGAAATGAAATGCTGATTGACGTACTTTAAGCTAAGGTGAAAGCAACTTTATGGGGTATTATTTGAAATGCCAAAACGTTCAACCAAATAGAAAAAGTAAACAACATTTAAAGTAGTGCTTTTCAGATAAATGTTTATCCGAGAAAACGCCTACGAAATTAATCCCCCTCATCATCATTTTCTATTTTTTTTAAATAAATAAAAAATCTATTAAGAATGAGAGAACATAATACATCAACAATGATAAGATGTAACCCATAAAAAGAAAAATCAACCCCCCAAAACCAACCTCCTTTCTCAAAAAGATTAAAAACCTTTTGATGCAACATTCTACCACAACCAGAGCTTCAGGAACAATATTTCTTACAATCAAAAACCCCATACCTTCAACCGATGCCAAACTCTCACCCTCAACTCAAACCCAACTAACCTTTCTAAAACCACCTTCTTCATCAAGTGTTTCCCAATTCCCACCTCTCCTTCCTTGATTGCCTTTTTTCTCAAATTAACCCCTATCTTCTTGAAGTTCTCTAAATGATCTTCTTGCAAAGTCCCCACCCTGAAGGAAGAAAAGTCCCAAAATTTTTCTCACTTCTACCTCCTTATTAATCACTTCTTCCAATTTTATTACTCCATGTAAATTGTGTGCTTCATCTATCAACACCTCCTCGGCTTAGGTTTTGTTCTATATATTTTCTTTCTTTTATATACTTGGGTATTTTCAAAATCTAGATAATAATCCCCTTTCTCCTCCTCTTTTCTCCTCATTGATTTGTTACCCTTCTCCTTCCTTTTCAACTCCTCCTTTTTCTTCCTTCACCAAGTATTCTTGCATCCCCTTTTGTTTTTCTATCAATCCATCTTCAACACTCCCCCTCTATCCAATTCTCAAATTAATTTTCTACTCTTTCTTATTTTTCCTCCATTTATCATCTTTCCTAACTCCTGAAGTCAAAAGAGACACTCTTCATTCTATAAAGATATGTTTTGGATTCCTAATTACCCTCAAAAATTAGAATTAAATCTTAAATGAAAAAACAAACACAAATATTTAAATCCATGTTCTACATTAAGCAAGGTGATGCCCATTCATCAATCACAACCACTAATCTTTTTTTCTTTGTTTCCCAAACCATTATCTCCTTATTTTCCATTTCTATATCCATTTAGCAATTGAAACAACTTTCATCTGCTCCTTTAAAATAGGTCTTTCAAACACCAATAAAAGTTATCCCAATGTTATTGCAGTGACCACCAAACCCGTTCATGGGCCGGGTAGCCCGACGGGTCGACCCGACCTGATCCACTCTTAGTCGGGCTTGGACATGATTTTAGGCCTATGGGCTAAGGCTCGGGCCTAAAACACTAGGCCTAACCTTTTTTCAGGTTGGGCTCAAGCTTTCTTAAAAAAGCTCTTCCCAAGCACGAGCCCAACTTGATAGTATAAATTATAATAAAAATATATATACAATATTTTTCTTTGTTCCTCTTCTATTTTTTTCAAGTAATAATGAGATCTTTTATTATTTTTGGGTTTTGAGAGCTTTTAATATAAATAAAATACTTTTTTATTGAATAAAAAAAGAAAAAACCATTTGTTATCAAATTTTTGGTCGAGCTCAGGCTCGTGTCCAAGCTTCGAGCTTTATATGAGGATTGGGTCGGGCTCAAGACCTAGGCTCGATTGTCGGGCTAGGATATGGTTCGGGCAATAATGTATTCTATTGATTCAGAGTCAAAGCATGCCCGACCCAACCCGTGAATAGGTCTAGTGACCCCTAATAAGAGAATTAAAACATAGGAGAATAGACAAACAAAAAAATCATAGACCTTGTTTGCACCATCCTTAAACTCTTAATTTTGTTCTATATATTCCATTTTTTACAAAAATAAAAAAGAAACATTTACAAAATATTTGAGAATATAATATTAAATGGAATCTATCAAATCTACCAATCAACATTTATATTAAAAAATGGTTTTTAATTTAAAAAAATGATAGAAACAAAAATATTAATAATGGAATCAAACCTTTAATATATGTGCATGCATGAAAAAGAGCAATAAATAAATTAATTGAAACTTGTAGTTTAAGTCCTATGGAGAACAATCATTTTGTTTAGAAAAGGCATTTCCATTTTTTCACATGTTTTTTCTTATGAATTTGAAGAGAAGGGTCTATATTTCAACAAAAAAAAAGAAGAAGGAAGAAGGGTCTGCTATAGTACAGAGACTAAAATCTTGAATCTGGATTCCAAGAAAGGAGAAAGAATGTAGTTTTCAGAAGAAGGGTCTACTATTGTACAGAAACTAAAGTCTTGAATCTGGATTCCAAGAAAGGAGAAAGAATGTAGCTTTCAACTGATCATAACAGGCGAAATTTTTTTTTGACTTTGACATCTGACACCCTCACAAAGTGTTCTAGAAAGAATCAAGAAAAGAATATAAACACAAAATCTGAAATAGAAGTGAATGCATGTATGAAGTATAAACTCAGTTACCCACATCAAATCTAATGAGGAAAAAGAGAAAACAAGGAAAGATGGAAGAAGGCTATGAATGTTCAAAAGGGTATCGAGGATTGAAATGGATGCTTCCTTACTATCTTTATTCATGGTCTAGACTATATCTGCTTGAGATCATAAAACAAAATATTATTTGGCTTTCTAAGTAGCCTTCAAAGCCAACCCCCAAAGACAATAATATTATTTGCCCAAGGCTGCCAATGTTCAGACTTACTTTCTTCTTGATATTGAGTCATGAATTTTTTTAGTTTATTTTGAATACAAGGCCATATTGATGAAGCCCCTCTTGACATAAATTTAAATAGGAATCCAATCAAGGATTTACCCACCCGTGTCCCTGTATTTAACTAGAAAACATATTAGTGTTGAATGAAAGCAAGTTGTACTTGTTGATGAAAAAAAAAAAGAAATTTGTACTTAATACCTGTTTTCATTTCTAGAATCATGTTTTCTTATCAAATATGTTATACCTAAAAAGTCATGATTTACATTATAAAGGTGAAGCAGTAGTGTGAATGGTAAGATACTAGGAGAAATGGAGTGAGAATGGATCCCATCAACTTCTAACTGATCAAGTCTTCAACCCATATAATATGTCCACCTTCATGAGCAAAGGAAAAATAGGGAAACACGAATACTTTTACCAAAATGAACAACATGTTTTGTTTAGTTTTGGTATGTCATTTTCAATAGCGATAACTTAATTAGATTTCACAGAATTCACAAAGTAGATCCAAATGCAAAGCCAAATAGATAGCACAAATAGCAAACAATAAACAATGAGGACAAAAAATAACAGAGAGAGAAAGAGAGGGAGCACTCCAAAACTTAAAATACAATGCTAAAGTTGGGATAGAGGACAAAACAAGAATTGACTATATAAGAACTATAATACTTGTTAAGAAAACTTTTAAGACTCATCTTCTTGTTTTTGTAAAACCTAAAATAATAATAAAAAAATAAGAAAAATAAGAGTTCAATTAGAAAAGGATTTGCAATATGTGAGAAACAATTTCCCAATTCACCCTCTTTGATCAAATCACACACCGAACTACACAATATAAGCTCTAGCATAGAGCTTAAGACAAATGAAATCCGACATAGATCAAATCCAAATTGAAACAATTAATAGAAGCTGCAACTTTTCAAAATCAAATAAACTCAACTAAAGTAGAATATTGAGTAAAATTACTATTCATTTCTCATTTCTCGATCCAATTTCAATACCAATTTTGGATAACATCCACCATTGTTGTTGAAGTTGCATTGAGTTGTTTTCTACCTTTCTAGAAGCATTACCAATCATCCACATTTGAGAAACGGAGATCAATAGAGAGAAAGCAAGAGCGAGGAAGGAGAACGAAACTTAGGGGAGAAAGGAGGGAGATAGAGCAAGTGAGAGAGAAAAAGAGCAAAGAGTTTTGGGCATTTCTCTAAGAGCTTTTGGAATCTTGAGGAAGCTTTGTTTTGTTGCCTCAAATTCACGTTAGATATTTGCAATCTTGTCTTCCATAACCAGAACCTTTGGTTCAACCTGTCCATCTTCGTCCTGACATTTGAAAATAGCTTCTTCTGACGCTACTGTAGCACTAAATCTTCTATATGAACCTCCGACTCTAAACCCTTCTACAGCTCCTCGTAGGGAAAAGCTCATCCTCTGTAATGAAGAACAAAAAGAAAGAAGCCTATAGATGGAGGCCATGAAAAAGAGGAGATAGTTAACAAAATTTTGGAAATACCAAAGAGAAAGAAGGGAATGGACATAACATTGAGAGGAGGGAAAGTGTGCAACATGCCAAAATTTTGAGAAACGCATGCTTGAACTCCTTAATAGCCATGGTCTCCAATAGTTTAATACAACTGACCAATGCAAGTGTGATGGTCAATTTAGAAACCATATCAATAGATTGTGCATAATCCATAAGTAGTTAGACCACAACTACACCATGGCTTGGGAATGCTATTTTAGCAATTAACTATAAAGTTTGTTTCTATATGTATTATTTAGCCACAGTCTTTATGTCAGTTGCTAAGAAAATCGTTGCTAAATCACAAATTTCTTGTAGTGATATTTTTTCTCTATTTCCATGTGTTTCCAAAGCATATCCATATTCAAATTGTCCAAAACGATATTCAATACCAATACTTTAATCATTGACTACAATAAGAGCAAGTTGACTATCACCTTGAATGAGCTCAACAATATGTTACAAAGAACTAAATAATTGATTAAGAATGACAAGCTTGTTGCATTACTTGCTAAAATAGGGAAGAAAAATGAGAAAAAAATGGACAATACAGTAAAAAACATTTGAAAAAAAAGATAAACAAGTCAAAATGTCAAAAGAAGGACAAGTCATTAGATGAATATTACTTCTATAAATAGATGAGGCACTAGAAAAAGAGCTGCCCACAATACCTAGACTCTATAAAGAAGTGGCCTCCTGAAGGTAATTTTGATTCACCAATCAAGGAAACCAATATGTTGGTCACTTTTGCTTTATCCTACTATGTTTGCTCAAGAGTATCAACTTATACTTGTATAATTCATTGTAGGGGTTCAAGGAGAGGTGGTCCTCTACATGGGAATATCAATAATAGTTTCTATTACTGTTATAGGATTAGTGAATCAATTTTTAGGGAAGGTTCAATTTTTCTAAAATCTTGTCTTTACATTCCTCAATTGAGGAAAATTTTGATTTCAATATCAAAATTATGTAGTGATGGTTAATCTTTACCTTTCGACAATAAGATTACTATAAAGTTGAATAACAAGTTCATCACTTTTAGAGAGTTAGAAAATGGTCTCTGTGTAATCAACCCTTCCCTGGAAACAAATATGATTGTATGGATTATTGAAATTATTCCTATGAAGAGACCTTGTGATACTGTTAATCTTACTTACTTGTGTCATTTCAGACTTGGCCACATAAATAAACAAAGAATCACAAGACTAGTTAGGAATGTTCCCTTGGATTTTCTATCTATAGAAGATCTATTAGATTGTAAGACTTGCCTACAGAGAAAGATGAATAAAAGGTCATTTGTTGGAAAAGCCCAAAGATCTACAAGTACTTTAGACCTAATACATACAAATGCATCCCTTGAATGTGAGAGCTAGATGAGGATATGTTTATTTCATCACCTTTACCGATGATTACACTCAATATGAGTATTGGGTACTTGTACCTAGTGCGGCATAAGTCATAATTCTTCAAAAAGTTTAAGAAATCTAGACATAAAGTCAAAAAAATAGTTGGATAAGGAGATAAAAGCGCTATGATCATATTGTGGTAGAAAATATCTCTCAAATGAGTTCAAGGATTATCTAAAGGACGATGGCATAAAATCACAATTGTTACTGTCAGTTACTCCTCAGTTAAATGGTGTATTTGAAAGGAGAAACTAAACATTGTCAAATATTGTAATGTATCTCCTTGTATAATCTGAGTTAACCATCTCCTTTTAGGGAAATGCACCCAAAATTGCTCTATACTTCTTGAATCAAGTTCCAACCAAGTTAGTTTCAAAGACTTCACATGATCATGGGATGGGCAAAAAGTCAAGTTTAAGACACTTGAAAATATGGGATTGTACAACATATATCAAAATTAAGTGCTAGCAAATTAGAATCCTAGATCAACATGTGCCTATTTGTAGGCTACCCGCTAAAGAAATCCATGGGTTACTTATTCTATAACCCTAGTAAACAAAGGGTGTTCATCAATTGAAATGCCCATTTTATGAAAGAGGGTTACACCCTCAATGGTCAACCTCAACAAGAATAGTTCTTGAAGGGGAGATGGTTACTATAGTGGCAAAATCCCAACAATAAAGCCAAGTTACTATGGATTCCACAATACCTATCTAGAAGGTCTACCCATGTCTTGGCTTACACAAGATTCATTGACTTACACAAAAGCCATGTTAGACATAGACTTTGTGAACTGGGGTAGATTCCATGAAGGTTAAAATGGACTTGATGAAAGCTAATGTAGTCTAGACTCTTATAAATCCACCCCTTAGAGTTAAAGCAATAGGTTGCAAGTGGATTTGCAAGAGGAAGAAGGACCAATGGTAAAGTTGAGACATATAAGGCCCAACTAGTGGCAAAAGGGTACATTCAAAAAGGAGACAATTATAAGGAAACCTTTTCACTTGTTGCTATGATAAAGTCAATTGGGATATTATTATTAAAACAACATTCTTGAATGGAAATCTTACTAAAGGTACCCCCATGCAACAACCTGATGGGTTTGTTAGAACATCTAGTTTGACAAAACATTCAAACTGTTTAATTTTGAGCAAAATTTTAATGAACCATGTGTTTACAAGAAAATAGTGGGAGACAAAGTAGTCTTTCTCATACTCTATGTAGACATCATTCTACTCATTAGGAATCATATAGGACTATTGTCAATAGTGAAAGTATATCTTTCACAACAGTTCTCCATAAAAGATCTTAGAGAAGTTTCTCATATATTAGGACTTTATTTCTATAGAGATAGGATGAAGCTAGTGGATCGTTAGACTCTTGCAAACCACTTACATTGATAAGATCATTGAAAGACTTAATATGCAAGACTCCAAGAAAGGGTTTGTACCTTTTTGTCATGGGGCCATTCTATCCAAGTGTATGTCATCCAAGACTCCCAAGGAATTAGAAAACATGAAGAACATTCCCTATTCCTCAACTGCAGGGAGTCTCATGTACGTGTTGTTGTGTACCCAACCTAACATAGCTCAAGCAATAAGTGTTGTGAGAAAATATCAATCAAATCCAAGACTCGAGCACTAGATTGCAATAAAGAACATGTTGAAATACATTCAAAGAACAAAAGACCATTGTCTTATCTTTAAAGGAAGTTCACTACAATTGGTTGAGTGTATCGATGTCATTTTCAAGTCAGACCTAAAGGAAAAAATGCTTTCACCTAGATCCTATTGGGGTTAATAGTTTTTAGCTAGAAGAATAGTAAATAGAGGTCAATGGCAGATTCCACAACAAAGGCTTGATTCGAATTCCAAACTGATTAAACAAGGGATGATTCGAATTCAATTTGATATTCAACAATTTTTTAATATAATCATCCAAATTCGAATAAGTCGAATATTCAAATTCAATTTGAATTCAATTGACTGTAATATGTTAAGTTTAACCACTCAAAATTAATTTAATGAAAAACATAAAATGGATTCGATTGATTGGGTTGCTCGTTATGTTCAGAGAAAAACACACCTTAAAGAGGAATCATCAACCAATAATCTATTATCTTGTTGATTCAACTCAAGTGCAATCATCATGTTTTCGCTCGTTGTCTCAGAGGACCTGGTTGAGAAATCGAGTTTATTTTACTCGGCTTGACAGAAATCATTTACAGGTCTAGTAATCGCCTTCGAAGGATGGAGACGCTAAGGAGAAAGTCTACAACCGGGAAGAACATCAAAGATGTTGAGGAGAAAGTCTACAACCGGGAAGAACAACGGAGACGCTGAAGAGAAAGTCTGCAACTAGGAAGAACAACGAAGACATTGAGGAGAGGGTGGAGACGATGTGAAAATAGTGAACTGAAAAGGGAAAACCCCTAATGTCATACCCACCTCCCCCGGTGTGCCCGAACAACACCACAGAGGCAACCTGGCCTCATCCCAGGCGGGATCCGCACCCACCTACCAACCCCTCACTTCACTTGGAGCTAACCCGTCATCCGAAATTCCCCTTAGCAGGGATGAACTGAAGGAGTTCATTTAGGGGCTGGTAGTCGAGAGCCATGATCGGGCACAGGATTCAGGGATCTTACAAAAGCCTTACTCCGATCGCATCCTATACAAGTATCTTGCCAGATACACTTCCCCCCAGCAGTGGCCCCAATACGATGGGCAAAGAGGAAGTCCATAGGAACACATAAGCAAGTTCGAAGATTTTCTTAGACCCTTTGCCCTAGACGGGGACATCAAAGTATGAGAATTCTCAAAATCGTTGACAGGGACAGCATACCCATGGTTCGTAAGCCTCAACCTCGGGGACATCAATTCATGGGGGGAGTTGACAAAGAGGTTCCTATCGAAATGGTTCACGCTAGAAAGGAAACTGATGATGGCCGATCTCCGTAGTGTAGAACAGGGGCCAAGGAAGGATCTATTGGCCAAGGAAGGATCTATTGACCAATGTCCTGAGGTTCCAGAAACTTACCCATTCTGTTTTTGACGAGCATGCCACTGAGAAGAGTCGAACAGTGCGTTCAAGGCATGCGGCCGGCATATCGCATAGGCATTGAAAACATCAAGACGGAGACCTTCAGTCAACTTTGGAAGTGCGCGGAAAGGACAGCGCAGACGGCCAAGGGCACAAACCCGTATGCCAGAGGAGAGGCATACGCAGTCGACAGGAGACCTCGAGATCGTGGAATGGTCAGACCGGAGCCGTATCAAAAAAATAACATCCAAGGAAGAAGAGATATGCCGACACCTCCCCCCTTTCCATGTACCAAGGAAGAAGTAATCATGATCATGAACAAGTTAGTGGAAGATGGGGTCATCACCTTGCCGACGCCACCCCCGGGAGTAAACCCAGAAAAAGTCAAGCACAGCGGCTGGTGGTGTGGATACCATCAAACCCCGCATCATGAATGAATGGATTGTTTCACCCTCATGAGGATATTTGCACAAAAGGTCAAGCTGGAACAGTATGTAACCAAAGAACCGGCTAGCGTAGAGACTGATCCTCTGCCAACACACGCTCGGGGAGGCAGCGTCAACGTAGTCGGGGCTGTAGGGCAGCACCAAGCGGATGCCCTAATAGAGAGACTGGAGCGAAGTGAGGAATTACGTCAGTTCGTCACCAAGCAAGGAGCCAACTCGGCAATACAGAGATTGGCCATCAGGGCACTAGTGGAAGTCTTTCGACACCCCCTACAACCATGTATCTACGATTGCAGTAACATAGAGTTCACGATAGATGACATGCTGGTGGCTGATCCTCTTCATAACCAACCCCTATACATCATGGCTAAAATAGGGGGATATGATATGCGGAGGTCCATGGTTGATCCCGATAGTTCTGTAAACCTCATGCCAGTCCACACACTAGAGCTCATGGGCATCCGAAAGGACGTCAAGGGGCTCCCGTTGGAAATAACAGACTTCAACGGAACCCCCTCGACCACCGAGGGACCTATAGAACTACAAGTTGTGATTGGGGGCCGTTCAGCATAATGCTGGAATTCCAAGTGGTTCAAGGAAGAACCTCCTACCACGCACTCCTAGGACGACCGATGATACACGACTTGGACCTCGTCCCTTCGACATACCGTCAATGCATCAAGGGAAGACATAGTGGGAGGTCAATAAGAACTCCGGCTACCAGGGCTCCATTTGACAAATCCGAAACACATCTTCAGGACGCTATCTACTTCAAGAAATTAGTAGAGGATGGCGAGACCCGGGTAGTGAAGGTCGAAGGGATGAGGTTACCCCAACCGCTTAGAGGCAAACTCGCAGGGACGTCGAAGCGATGCAAGAGGAGCAGGTGCGTGTGGATAACGGGGGACAATGGAAAAGAATACTACACCATCGTCGAGGAGTATAAGAGCGATGTACCACCCATGACAAAGAAAGCCATCCCTGAGGTATGAGAACGATTTTGTTTTTTTTATACAACTGGTTAAATATATCCTAATTGCAGCATACATGTTCCCGAAAAGCATGTTTATGAGAAAAGAAAAAAATAGTTATGTTCTTTTGACCAAAAGATTTTGAGTGATGTTTCAACCAGAACTATTTTGCCATACCTCAAAGTGAAGTCGCTATGACCCCACCACCAAGGATCAAACTTTGAATTCAGCACGAAGGTCCAGGGGATAGAGATGGGGATGTGTTAAGATAGCAATGGTTACATACTGATCCTGCTTTACCTCTTGCTACAGGACGTGTTGCGATAGAGATGGGGATGACTCCCAGGTTGGCAGCATGATCTTCCGAAGGCACTAAGACATGGCGAGGTCCAAGGGATTTCCCAATGGCTTCCTGGAAACCCACCAGCAACGCACAAAGATAAGCCAATTGCAGCACCTTGCATTGTGGCTCCCAGTAGAAGCCGGCAAACGCGAACAACCCGGGAAAGCTCAATTGTGCCGACGGACCCAGAACACATCCTCCTCGGTGGCTTGTAAAAACTGCCTACCAAGATCATCATACCTAAATTGACGCATCACCCGATCCGAGTGATACACAGCCAGTTGCGATTCGCCATTGCGATCGAGATAGGCTCCCACACCGGGTCATGCGATCAACCGCGTGATGCCCACTGTGACATTACTCACATCTAAAGTGCAATGTTGATCCACGTCGACGGGGACAGGTGCGTTGGCACAGAACAGCATAATATCGGGAACTGTCTAGGAATTGGGCTTCCACTTGAATCCACCCCGGGAGGCCAATCGGATGCCGATATCACCTATCCGAAAGCTTTTATGGCAACTGGCTAGTAACCACCGTTTCCCCCTGCAAACCCCGAAGGTCTTGTCCTCGAACTCATCCCCTTGCAGAGTCTCCACTGGAACGCTGAGACGCACAAGCGGACACAGGGTCACCGCGAGATCAAACCGCTCATAGAGAAACATCCAGAGGAATGGAAAATAGACATAACTGATGCGATGCTTACAACTAGGATCCACCAGATGCTTCACAGTGTTGTCTAGTTACTTGTACAAGTATCCCACAAACATGGAAGCCAGAGGAAACTGGTGACCGGTCGCGGCAAGGATGGCAAGGGGGACCAAAGAAGTACACATTCCATAGTCTGGTAGACTAGGATAGCACATATAAGATAAATGCAGCGAGATGACATTGACTATCCCTACCTCTCACCATCACGTTGCGACCTCCATGCGACTTGAACTAGAACTCTATCCAATGCTCTAGCAGCATCTTTCCGCGGGCTGTAGTCTGGTCCTCCTACACCTTGAAAGAGCCTATCGCATGAAGCAACTAATCGCATAACTCCCTGTAATCCGTGGGGACGGACTCGATATACTGCAAATGATGGGCGGATAAGACACCGCCGACAGGCAATGCCAACAAAGCGGCTGCGTCCTCGACCGTCACTGTTAACTCTCGAAATGACCCAACAAATGTGTGTGTGCGACAACACCACAATTCCACTAGACGGTCCACATACTTCACACCCTCCCTGCCAGATAAGCCCGTGTAGCAGTCTACCAGCCTGAGTAGACCGGAGTCCTGCAACATCCAACAATACATGGGGTTTTCAAATACAAACTTTGCCCATGCCAAATAACTGTTAGGGGATTTTGAGCTATCAGCCATCGGCTCTTGACACTTGTAGGACATGGATTGATCCAAAGGACCGCAAAGGCGTAGCAACTCAATTGTGAGAACAGGGTCGAGTATACCCTCTATACCTCTCAACACAGGAATAGGAGGCCAAAACCCCTGCTCCCTAGTAACAACCAAAGCTGTCTCCCGTTTCGAAAGCAGTTCAGCCATGTCTACCGTCCTCACAAAATTGAAAAAAGGGCACTCGACCCTCTTCCCAATCTCTCTTCTCCCCTCCTGCCCAGCAGTCTTAATGTCTCAGTGGCAACATAGAGCCATGGATGGCAAACCAATCAAACTTCAAAGGAGTCTATGAAACTAAAATTATCTCCGCACAAAAAGGAGTGAACACTAGTACACCCTATATTCTCCCACCTTCTTATAAAAACAAACCCCT